TAAAAAGGAATGAAGTGCTGATATATTTTACAACACATGGATCAACCTTGGAAACATGCTAAGTGAAAGAAGCCAATCACAAACCATCACACAATGCATGACTCCATTTATACTGAAATGTCCAGGACAGGCAAACCCACAGAGAAGAACGTAGGTGAGCGGTTGCCTGGGACTTTGGGAGATGGGAGCGTAGGGAATGACCACTAATGGATATGAAGCTTCTTCTCGGGCTGATGAGGATGTTCTAAACTTCCATCACGGCAACGATGACCAGGTCTGTCAGTATACTAAAACCACTTCACTGAATGCTTTAAGAGGTGAATCACACAGTGTTCAAATGGTATCTCAACAAAGAGGTTTCGAAAGGAACATTGCATGAGAGGAAGCAGCTCAGTCAAGGACCTCTGAGGGATTTGAGGGGCCTGAACACTCAATGCTGGGATGAGTGGGGGGTGGGGGGCGCAGAAGGGGACTGGAAAGATAGATAGGAACCAAGTCGTGAGGCACCTTATAGACCAGAGTACAAAGTCTAGATAGTCCCTGAAGGAAATGAAGAAAAGCCAAACCATTTTAAGGGATAAAGCAACACATCAGACTCAGTTTTTAGAAATACTACTATGGCCATGGTGGGGCAGACCTGGATGCAAAAAGGCAGGTAAGGATGCATGACCCTGGGGAAACAGGAGAACAAGGATTCTGAAGGGCAACTCTGGTTCTCGGTTCCTTTCCATGGGGTCAACCACATATTTTAATGAACAGTCCCTGTTCTCAAAAAACTTCTACTTTAGCTGAAATGATAAGACACCTGGGTCAATTATTCTAACATCAGATGAAGTCTGGCGAGTTTCGGAGGAGCAGTAAAGTGCCCTTGGGGTTCAGTCTGAGAGTCACTGAGTTGGGGATCCGTGGTGCCCTGGCAGGTGCACTTTGAAGGCTTTCAGTTGAGACGACTCCACCTAGAATTCAGAACAGGGAAAACCCTAAGTAACAAAGCCAGCCTACAATTCCCTGCCAGGTACTGGCAAAATGTAGAGAACCAGACCCTCAGGGCTGGAAGGGCTCACAAAGGTCTTTGAGCCACCCACTGTCTGGCACCTGAACTCTACCTGTAGGATCCCTGGTTTCTTAAAGACCTGCAGTGATTTACCACAAGGCAGCCCACATATCCCCTCTTCAGAAGCCTTGGGCTGTGGGCCCCTTCTCCCTGAGCTTGGACATCACCTCCTGGTATACTGCCAGTAAGGTCATCTGGGCAGGACCCTCCTTTTGAGAGCCAGGTTCCCGCTTACTAACACTGGCTGCTGTGTGCCCCGCACCAAGTCTCCCCTCCCTCAGGCTGCACCAATGCTCCCACTCCCTCAGTGATTCCTCGGGGACACAGCTGAGTCTCTTCTCTTCCAGATACTAGTTTGTCAGAAAAGTCATGACGCATTTTTGCATAGAAAAAATAGGTCATGACTTTCCTGACAACCCAATTCATGTTCACAGCAGTATTCATCATTAACAGTCAAGAGTGGAAACAACCCAATGCCCATCGGCTGACGCATGGATAAACAAAGCATGATATATCCACACAATGGAGCATTATTCATCAGTCAAAAGGAATGAAGGGCTGATACATGTTACAACATACGAAGGAACATTGAAAACATTCTGCCAAATGAAAGGAACCAGTCACAAAACAGCACGTAATGTAAGACTCTTCTCTGGTCATTCTCAGAAGTCACCAGAATTTCTTGGGGAAACCTTAGAGTAGTGACTTTGATCATCAGAGCACTTGTCTGACCACCGCAGGGATGAGCAGGCCAGACCTTGTCTATAAGATGGCTTCAGGAAAAATGCAGGCAGGCAGCCAGGCACATGTTGATGCAGATGGTGCTGGATGGACACTGAAATTGTTACGTCGAAGGGCCTGCAGGTGGCATAGTGGTTGAGGCACTGGACTCCCACATGGCTGACCCCGGTTTGAGTCCTGGACCAGGCAGCTTGCTTTCTCACTTTCCCTCTCTCTGTCATTTCTTGGTGAATTAAAAAATAATAATGATAATAAATTAAATAAAATAAATACTTCTTTTTTATAGAAGAGTTTGTCTTATTTTTTTTCTTTGCCTTAGGGCATATGCACTTGCTTGGAGAGAGAGACAGAGACAAATAAGAGGGAAAGTGAGAAATCACCCCCAAGGGGGATGGCCATGCCACAATCCCTTCTCCTCCATTCTCCTCCTGGCATCTTAAGCAAGCATGCACACATGCCTGGTGTGATTTTCAAGTCACTGGGTTCAGGACTCGAACTGCAGTCGACCATGTGGGAGTTCAGCCATGTAACTGCTACAGCATCTGCTGGCCCCAAATAAGTCATTTTTTTAAAATGAAAACTGCTAAGTTGATTTGACCCAAGGCATTACTAAAACACGTCTCCATCCTGTGCTTGGGAAATGGTATGCCTGGCTTTTGCACGAGGCAGCCTGTCCCTCTCCTCAGTGAGTCCAGACTCTAGGGCAATCATTTTGCAGTTGGCCAGATGGTCAATGGCGTGCTTAATTAAGTGGACAGAAAAAGAGGATGCACAGAGAAATCAGAGAACACAGCAAAGAAACAAAAGGACGAGCTGGCAGCACATACGTCAGTCCTACCAGGTGCCATTATTTTAGGCCTATCCCAGGAGACAGAAACAGAGACAGGATGTCTGAAAACTTTATCCAAAAGAGCTGTGAAGGGGCTTGGAGTTGAAAGGGATGCAGAGGATACTGTCAACCAGGCAGACAGATGGGGAGGAGAGCGAGCCCCAGCAGAGGATCAGAGATGCACCCTGTTCCACCAAAGCAGATGTGTCAACGCCAATAAAATGATCCAGCGAGCATCTAAGGGCAGAAGGAAATGAAGGCCCTGTGATCATCAAGACCCTGGGGACTCAACGGTTCTAGAGGTTAAGCTGTGCATTTAGTAGCTGAGTTCTTCATCTGTTCTGACTTGTTCCTCTCTGGACGTATAGCACAAAACCTGGAGGTCCTTTGAAGGGTATACAGATGAAAGTGGAAACATGGGAACAAAAATTAGGACTAGAAAATTGATCTGAGGCCAGGCCCATGACCTACTAGTTAAGGGAGCTGGACCCCATGTGGCTGACTGATTAAAATTCCCTCCCTGACAGCTTGAAAAAACACACCAGGTGTGTGTGTGTGTGTGTGTGTGTGTGTGTGTGTGCCCAAAACCCCAAAAGGAGGGCTACATGGAGAAGAAATTGCTGTGTGACTACACCCCATTGGAGGGTGCTTTCTCCTGCTCCCTCTGCCTCCACTGCGCGCTCTCTCTCTCTAGCAAGTGCACATGCCTCTGACAAAAAAGAAAGGGAGGAGGAAGGGGAGGGAGGGGCAGGGAAGGAGCTTCGCATTATCTTACTCTGCTTATAGCTTCACAAAGGTAAGATAAAATCAGACCCTTTATGCAATTGGGGTCCACATAACCCGTCTGTCACCTAGATGTTGTTACGTACATTTCACAGCTGAGAAAACGGGGACTCCAACAAGTTAGCAAGTGGCGATCAGACTGAAATGGAGGTACGAAGTTTAATGTCTCTCCTGTGTGTGCCATGGTACACTCCCTGTAACTTCAAGCTTCTGTGTGGACATTCCCCGCCCAGGCAGAGAGCAGGGTGGTCGAGAGCTCGGACTCAGATGCCATCACTGAGTTCAAGGGCTGACTCCACCACTCACTAGCTAAGGTGATCTCAGAGGGGTGAACCTCTCTGCCTTTCAGTTTCCTCAGCTCTGAGATGGGGATGATCACAGAGTATTTACAAACTAAGATGGTTATGAGGATTAAATGCTATTATTATTGGGACCAGCAGTTGGTGTAATGGCTATGTTGCTGAACTCCCATGTAGTCGACCACGGTTCGAGTCCCAGACCCGGTGGCTTAAACTCACGCCAGGTGCATGTGCGTGCATGCCCAAGATCCCGAGAGGAGAATGAAGGAGAGGGGATTGTGGTGTGGCTATCCCCCCTGGGGGGGGGGTGATTTCTCGCTTTCTGTCTCTGTCTTTCTGGCGAGAGCACGTGCCCTATAGCAAAAACCTCTCAAAAAGAATGCTATTATTATTAATGTACTTTTAGAACTGTTTCTGGCATACAAGCAGCACTAAACTAAACTAATCAAACTAGATGTGGACATGGGCAAGCAGCTCAACCTTCCAGGCCAACATCTGGAAGCAGATGATGCAGGGATGTCCCAGTCATGGTGGTGATGAAATGAGGTAACAGATACGGAGTATCTAAACAAGTCCACCATCATCCCTTAAAACCATCTCTTCTTCTACCCTGGGCTGAACATGAATGGGTAACTGAGCCCCTGAAGACATCAGTGAAACGATCATTGACTAGGTGGATTGATTTAGACTAATGAACACAAACTACATATAAAATAAGCCTTGACATAAATTGAGAAATCATTAAAACAAATAAGACAAAGGAATGACAGGTGACACTAAAAGAAAACTGCTACCTCGTCCGCTGTAAGTTAGTACTGGCAAGGCAGAATTACTGCATACATGAGCTCTGCTTCACCGAGAATCACGACAGGTGCACTAATATGTAACTCTCCGCCTTTCTCCTAGTGGCGAGGGGCACATGGCATTGCCTTGGCAGGCCTCTGCCTCGGGCTGCAGAATGAGGCCGAGGGTTTCCCAGGGGAGGCAGGCGGGAGAGGCGGAGGCAGCGTCAGGGTACAGTGACTCCATGACAGATGACAGGTGCCCTCGAGGGCTGAGTGGAACCCACTGCTCAGCCCCGCCGCCCTGCAGGAAGCAGGAGAGGAACACTGGAGGTAAATGGGTCACTGCTGTGTTTGGGGGCTCTGACTTTGGTTTTAGAGTGCCGAGATGAAGTGTTTTCCCCTTGGATTTCAAACTTTCGTGACCATGTCTCCATAATGCATTAGAGACGATGTCCCCAAGTGCACGTCTGGGAACGTTTCCACGTTAACCGCAGCACAACAGATCTAACCTTCACGCGGTCGGGGTCCACGTAGTGTATGTTTTTCATGTCGCATTCTTCGGCAGTATAATTTAACTTGAGGATATAAAGGATCCATAATCCGAACACCAGCAATGTACATCTGGGAGAGAAAAAATGAGGTCTAATGAAGCAGCGTGGGATAATCACAAGCCATGCTGTGAGGTAAGCGAAAACTCAGATCGAGTTTGCCTGCCGCACAGCACAAACGGACCCTCTCTAGGCTGACCTCGGGGTGAAAGGAAGGGACCAATCCTACTTTCTGACAAGACAGACTGGTCACTTACAGCTGTCTCTGTTGTGAGTTCATATGGAAAAACTATTTTTTCTTTTTTTTTGGCAAGGGCACTATAATCAGACCTGAAGCACAATGCAGATTACTGAGCTTTTAAACAAAACAAGGAATAACCTGAACTGCAGATGCTCAGCTTCTCTTCTGCTACTTTAAAATACGTCAGTCCTTTAAAAGAAAGGGAAACAAAGCAACCTATTTTCATCATATTCCTAGAGAATTCTACTCAGAAAACAGACTGGCTCACGTGCGACAATACCACAAGCTACCTTCACACCATGCACCGACACTATTTTTAAAGATCTGATAACGTCACGCTATTATATGGTTTAGCACACATATAGGATTTGGGGGAAAAAACTGAATCTAGTCTAGGTTCCTGAAATCTAGACCTTTTTTTTTTAAAACCACAATATATTTACTTATTTGCCAGGTTTCTCATTGTAGGGGAAGAGAGTTACAATATGGAAAAAGAGGGAAGAATAGAAATAACTCTAAGGTAATTGGAATTTGAGATGTCAGCATGAATTCAACCCCTTGTCACAAGACATGGCAGAACTTTTAAGACAGTCTTTTTTTTTTTTAAGCTTTTCATCATTTTATTTTTCAGATTATTATTATTATTTATTCTCATTATTTTTTAATTTATTCTTTTCTTTTTTTTAAATTTTGACCGGAGAGATAGAGGGAGAAAGAGCAAGCTACTAGCTCCGGGACTCAAACCATGGTCAACCATATGGGAGTGTCCAGCACCTTAACCACACCACCACCTGCTGGTCCTTATTCTCATTATTTTTTAAGAATTATTTTATTTTAACTTTATTTATTTACTTATTTTAATTTGACCAGAGAGAAGCAGAGAGAGAGAGAGAGAGGGAAGGTGAGAAAGCAAGCCGTCAGTTTCAACACTCAACCATGTGGGAGTCCAGTGCCCTTAACCACCACGCCACCTGAGGGCCCCTAATCTCATTGTTTTTTAAATATTCAATCCCTATATATCTTTGGCTTGTAAAGAGAATTTACCCAACATGAAATACTTCTCAGACCAGCCCAGTTGAGAATACTTACATGTCATCATCAACAGGTAATAAACCATTTCTGCGTCCCACTAACGTCATGTCTATTCGTTCTCTTGCTTTCTCTAAATTCTTCCCTTTTCTCCCCCTGTTCCGCTCTGTCTTCAGTATCCATAACTACTTTCATTGCTTTTATTAAAAATCTTTTTTTTTTTAAAGAGCTTTCTAAAAAGTTTTTTTTTTTTTTTTCCCCCCTGGGGCCTGCAGGTGGTGTGGTGATGAAGGTGCTGGACTCCCACATGGCTGACTCCACATGGCTGACTATGGTTCAAGTCCTGGACCTGGTGATTTGCTTTCTTACTTTCCCTCTTTCTCTCTCTCTTAGCCTCCCTCTGGTGAGCACACATGCCCTATAGCAAACTTAACAATCATAATAATAAATAAAAATAACTTTTTAAAAAGTTCTTTTTTCTTTCTTCTATGACTGAGTGAATGAAAAAGACAGAGACAGCACCCCCAAAGGTTCTCGATGCTGTAGTTCACCCCCAGCCTTCAGCCAGTTCCGGGCTATGGGCACGCACTTGCCCAGTACACTCAGGGGGGGGTCTCTGGATCTGAACTGGGAACCTTCCCATACGTGTTCTGCCTCACCAAACATCACATTTTGCCACTGTGCCACCCCTAGCCTCTACCCGGTCCTGCATCACAAGCAGCTTGCTGAGCACACTCGAGGAGGTCTGCAGATCTGAACTGGGAACTTTCCCATCTGGGAACATCACGTTTTATCACTGTGCCCCTGTCCGGCCCTCAAAAATCTCCTTTTTAATAAAACGCTTTCTCTTTCTCTGTGTCTTCCCAGAGAGTATAACAAAATTTTCTAAATAAAAAATGAAAGAAGGCACGCCTACCTATAGTGTAACTCGTGGCATGAGTCTGCCCTGCCCTTGCCGTAACAGACTGGGGCCCGGGTCCACGGTGTTGCGGTCACAAAGGTGGCACCCAGTGTGGTACCAGGCCCATTGGAGGCCTTGAGAAACGTTGGCTGACGACTGAAAGGAGACCGAATGCAACACAGGTCTTTATTCTAAATGTGCTTTTTCTCACCTTTCTCCTTCTGCACATTTTAAATCAGTAAAGTGAGATGGGAGACAAGGTTTCAAGGTTGGATTTTTATCTTTAGACATAAAAAAGTCATGTTCATCTTGGTTTGGCTGGTATCAAAAACCAACCCAAACCAAACCCACACAAAAACAACTTACGGCATCCTCCTTCATTAAGTCTACTAACTATTGTAAGTGTGATCTGGCCGAAACACCTCCCATCCTTTTTAATATTTAATGGTATCCAAGTGCTTTTAGAGAAGTCAATGAACCATATTTTGCATGAACTTAAAACAGTGAAGGAAGATACCCTCTGATGTTGAACGATGGGGTGAAGAGAGGCGGCCCGAGGAGCTGCTCCCCCAACACCACCCCAGCAGACAGAGCCCAGCTGGTCTCGGGCCCCGTGCTTTCACCAACACTGCTGCCTGCAAGCACCCACTTCACCTCTGCATGGGCTTTGTACCCAGACAGGTGTGCTTTTAAATGATCTTTTGCCATTTTTAGGGCTGGCACTGAATTTTCCTTCCAATTCTACACGGCGGACCCCCATCAGGGGACGCTTACAGTTAAGGGGTCATACTTACTTGAAGATGTCTTTTAACAACAAGGTAGGTCTTCTCATCTTGTTTTGAGCTCGGGTGTACCATTGCAGGGAAGCCCTTGAGCAATCACTTCCCAGTTTCACACAGTTGTACTCACTTGGCATTGCTGTGAGGAGAAGGTGGGAGGACAATGGGAGAAAACAGAGGAGACAGGTGGGTTATGATTTTAAGAGCCCTTGTGTACATTCACATCATAGACTATTACTGACAGTAAAAAGGAGTGAACTGGGCTGACCCCCTAGTGCAACAGTGAAGGGAACTGGATTCCCATATGGTTGACTGTGGTTCATATCCTGGCCCTGGTGATTTGAAAAACAGGCCAGGTACATGTGGGTGCATGCCCCAAATCCTGACAGGATGGAGGAATAGAGGAGGAGGAATTATGTCATGACCGCACTTCATTTCCCTCTCTCTGGGGAGCAGACACATCCTCTGACAATTAAAAAAGCAGGTAAGGGAACCAGCAGTTAGTGTAATGGCTATGTTGCTGGACTCCCACGTAGTCGACCATGGTTCGCGACCCGGACCCGGTGGCTTAAAACTCACACTGGGCGCATGTGCGTGCGTGCCCAAGATCCCGAGAGGAGAATGGAGGAGAAGGGATTGCAGCGTGACCATCCCCCCTGGGGGGTGATTGTGCGCTTTCTATCTCTATGTCTCTCTCTGTCTGTCTGGTGAGTGCACGCGCCCTATAGCGAAAACCTCTCCAAAAAAAAAAAATAATAATAAAAGCAGGTAGGGTGGTGGTTAAAGCGCTGGCCACTCCCACATGGCTGACCATGGTTTGAGTCCTGGACCTGGTGGCTTGCTTTCTCACTTCCCCTCTCTCTCTCTTTCTCTCTCTGTGTGTGTCTGTCAAATTAAAAATAAATCAATGAGTAAAATTAAATAATTCTTTAAAAAGAAACATTCTGTTGACAGACTCAACAACTTAGAATTATGCTGAACTGGTACTAAAAGGTGACATGTTATATGACTCCTAACACTCTTGAAATGACTACATTATGAAAAGGAGAACAGACAGGTGGCTGTGCAGGGTTAGAGGGAGGGGAGGCAGGTCTGGTCATAAAAGGTAACATGGGGCCAGACGATGGCGCTGACACACACGGCTAGGCTCCAAGTTCACATCCAGAGACCTCCCTGAGTACACGGGGCAAGCACATGTCCACAAGCCGAGGTTGGCTGAAGCTGGGGTGGAACACAGTTTAAGATCCCTTTGGGGGTGCCTGTCTGTCTTCGCTCACAGAAGAAAAACTTTAAAAGGGATCCTGGTGGTGACGGGAATGCTGTGTACCTTGACTCTCCATGTCTACATGCTGTGACACGGTGCTAAAATTTCACAAGATGCCACCTGGGGGAAACGCAGTAAAGGGTGCACTGGATGTTTCTGTACAACTTCTTACAACTTCACGTGAGTTTATAATTACTCCCAAATAAAAAAAGTTTAACTGCTCTTTAAAATACCCTTTTCTGGGACCAGCAGGTGGTGTGGTGGTTAAGGCGCTGGACTCTTACATGGCCGATCGCGGTTTGGGTCCCGGACTTGGCAGCTTGCTTTCTCACTTACCCTTTCTCTCTCTCTTTGGTCAAATTAAAAAACAAACAAACAAACAAAAAATGGAATTAAATAAACAAATAAATATTTTTAAAAATTATTAAAAAAAAAACAACCCAAAACCCTTTTCTAAGGCTGGCAGGTGGAGTGGTAGTGAAGGGCACGAGACTCCCACATGGCTGGGCATGGTTCAGGTCCCAGACCTGGCGGCTTGCTTTCTTTCTCTCTCTCTGTCCCTTCCTGGTCAAATTGAAATAAATAAATAAGTGGATAAAGTTAAATAAAATAATTCTTTAAAAATAAAAGACCCTTTACTGAGCCAGCAGGTACTAGACTCCCGCATGGCTGACCACAATTTGAATCTCAGACCTGGCAGCCTCTCTTCTGACTTTCACTTTCTCTCTCTGGTCAAATTAAAAAAATAGTAACAACATTATTACTACTACTATTTTAGAGGTTGTTGTCTTAGGGCATGTGTGCTCACTGGAGAGAGACAGACACAGTGAGAAGGAAAGTAAGAAATCCTTCAGGGGGCATGGCCATGTCACAATTCCTTCTTCTTCGTTTTCCTCCTAGGAGCTTGCGCATGTGCACACAGGTGCCTGACATGATTTTCAAACTACGGGGTCCGGGACTTGAACCGCAGTCTACCACGTGCAAGTCCAGAGACATAACCACTACGTCATCTGGTCCCAACAAATAAAATTCAATAAATAAAAGTGAAACCTCTACCTTTCAGAGATGTGGAAATATTTATCTACAAAATGGTAGAAATGAGGTCTGCTTCACAGACATCAGGAAGGGGCTAAGTAGGAGGCAGGGGAGGAAAGGTGACCAAGGGCTGGCTTTATACCGAAGGCCGCTGAAGCTGGGAGGCAGGTGCAGGAGCGATGGTGGAGCGACAGGAGAGAAGAGCAGGGGGCTTGCACAAACCCAGAGGGGGTCTCCATCCCACCTTTGGACTTTTTTTCCTTCCAGTTCTTGCTACAGCACATGTGCACGTGCCAGAGAGAGACAGACAAGGGTAGGGAGAGGGCAAGTGAGAAATCACTTCCCAGGGGGGATGGCCATGCCACAATCTCTTCTCCATTCTCCTCTTGGGATTTGGTGCACGCATGCACACACACCGACATGTTTTTCAAGACCCTGGGTCTGGGACTCAAACTGTGGAAGCAGCTATGTGGGATCCAACTGCCTTAATCTCCTCGCCACTCGGCTAGGGCCCACCTCTGGATACTTACAAGAAGGAATAAACTCTCACCTTGTTTAAGCAATTGTTAATTAAAAGGTATATCTCAACTAACAGAGGCACCAACTACTGGTACAAAAAATTATTAATTTATGAAATAATGTTTTTACTATATTTAGTCTTTTAGTCAGAAGGAACTTATATCTCATTATTCACTTCAATTTCCCCATTAGGGTTTTGTTGTTTTCTTTGAAAAAATAAAAATGATCTCTAAACTGACATTGAAGTACTTACTCTTGCTACTGGAAACCATCTCTCGACTCCATTCTAATTGTGTAATTCCAGAGTGCAAGAACTTTTATCAATACGTATCATTCCGTTGGAGTCCTTTCAAAAACTAGTGCCAAGGACCTCATTAGTAAACCTCAAGAATCTACTGAATCCTTAAATGAGAAGTCAGGACCACTGCCACGATGGAGGACTTTCAAACACAGCTCTGTGGGTGCCTCACACATGGTCAGCCAGGCCAGCACTTTTATAAGTGGGACTTCAAAAAGTTTATGGAAAAATGAAATTAAAGCCCTAGCTTATTTTGGTGCCCCAAATCCCCCAAAATCTGTGCTTAGTTTTTTTCATAATAAGCATTTACCATGAACCTTTTGAAGATCCCTCATGGAACTTCTTGTTGTTCTGATATATGGTCTTGTTACATTGCCCAGGCTGGCCTTGAACTTGCCTTCCTCCTGCCTCGGCCTCTGGAGTAGCTGGGATTGCAGATGCATGCCATCATATCCAGCTACATACAAAAATCGAAGTTTCTGAGATGTCTGACAATGACACTCAGGTCTGGCCCTCCAGAGAACAAAGCTGGCAGGAACACGAGCAAGACCCAGCCTCACCTCTGCGACTCTCGGTGCGCTTGATAGTGCTGTAGACTCTCGGCTCTCTCCGCCCCTGGGGCTGGAAGCCTGTGGACTACACTCCTCAGCCTCTCTCTTGCAAGCTGGCTCCCTGCTAAGTTGTGATCCTGGATGTGCTGGTGACATATTGGAGGATGAGAGGAGAGAAGCCTGCTCTTCCCCTGACATGGTGGAGCTCCTGACAGCAGCAACGGGAGCCGGTATCGGAGGAGTCTGCATGTGACTGCAGCAGCAGTCACGGGGATGCGTCCCCGAGGTTTCCACGCAGTAGAAGCGGTGGACCTCTCCCAGCTGTGTGACCCTGCGCTCTGCCTGACACCTTCTCCTCCCTTTGGCATCGTCAGGCCTTCCACTGTCTCTATAATCAGCCCCCGTATTAGGGTCCTCTCTGCCTGAATGGACAGCAGTGGTTTCTGTCCTCCTGCTGGTCACTGACTCGTACACCAGAGCCTCTTCTGCCACGCAGAACTGCAGAAATCAAGCGAGGTGGGGAGCAGCTCGGGAGGTGACAGAGGCTTCTGCAGCCCTGACCTTCTTACTCTCACCATTGCTGCCGTAAGTCACACACACTTAACCCATTCGAATGTTCAAAACAAGCGGGGGGAGTGTTTCTTCAGCGCACAGGAGAGCTGGCATGGGACTACAGTATCTAGCACTGACCCCCACTTCAGCTCCTCCACCCACCGATGGTGCAGTTTGGGGCAAGTTCCTGTAACTCTCTGCAACTCAGTGTCCTCATCTGTTAAGTGGGTACAATGACATTCCCTGGCTCCTGGAACTAATACGGAAATACATGCAACATGACATGTGAAGCTCAGAACGGAGGCTGCCCAGAGTACGTGCCACAGAAGTGACTGTTGGGGCATTACACAGAGGAAAGGCTCAGGCATTGGTCCTGTATTACGTAAGTCCTCTGCCAGGACTTTAAGGCACTTCCTGAATTTCCACGACCCCACGAGCTTTGGTGCCAGCCCAATCAGAGACCTAGGCCAGTCCTCCTCCATCCATTTTGCCTCCTTTTTTGGGTCTCTCTGGAGCAACAACATGCTCTCAGGCCCCTCAAGCACTTTCTCAACCTGTAGAACCCCCAATTGCTCATGCTATGTTCACAGGCCTCTTCCCCGCACTGTCACCTCCCCCTGTGACAGCCATGCTGCTCCTGCCTCCGGCTGCAGGCTGTGCCTAGGACGCCTTGGAGCCATTCTTTCTTCACAGTCCATGCAATCTGGCGTCCCCACACGCACCTCTTAGGACTCAGCATCTTTCTTTCTGCCCCATACATATTCCCTACTCCACTTCCGCACCTGCCCTCCCCCTCTCCCAGTGCACCTGCCCCTCAGCTCCGTCTCTCTGATGGCGACCTCTCCATGTAAGGACCCTGTATCGGATCACCTGCCTCCTACCTTCACCTCAAACAGGACCCGGCATCTCCCTCTGGCCTTCACGCTATTTGGTAACCGCACCATCCTCCCGACCATCCAAACCAGGCACCTGCAGGCTGAGCCTAGACTTTCACTCTCAGCCACAGTCAATGCCCAGGGCCTCTCACACCTTCTGGACTCCACCTGCCCATCAACACTCCTGTCACCTGGACTCCCCTGGCTCGATTTTGTCACCTCAAATCCATCTTCCTAAAAAACATGTATCAGACTAATGGCTGTCAACTCATCTCAGTTTCATGACTCCATGTGACAAACTTGTCTGTCGCATTCTGGCCACAAAGAAGTACTGTTTGAGAGTGTCCCCCTGGTGCCTTCTGCACACGTCCTGCCCTCTGTCTGGATCCACGCCCACAACCAGCCTGGAGGGCTACTTCTCCTCCTTAAACCCAGGCCAAGCACCTCCGTCCTGCTATCGAAGTCACTTTTCAATACTACACCCATCCCCGGAGACGTTCCTAACTCTGTGCAAAACCAGGAACTAAAATTTCTCTTGGTGGCCTCCTGGAGGGCGGAGTTCAGGGCCAGATGTTCCTCTTTTTTGTATTCCTAGCACCTGGGACAGCGGTCGGTTGGCAGACAGCAGGCCTTGGGAAACCGCTCTATTAGGATGGCACGCACATGATCCGGCTGAGACCTGTCATCAAACAAGACCAACTTCTGAGAAAAGTATTTCCTCACGTTGGTTAAGACAGAAACCAAAACTGAACGTCAGTAGGAGTGATAATGACAAGAATAAAGCATAGGACTTACTGGAACATCTAACATATCCAACATTGGGCCATCGCTGGGAAGTTACGGCACGTGGCTCGTGAATACTCTGCAGTGACTGGGACCTTGCTACTGGTGGGGTCTCCAAGCGGCAGCACCAGCGGCACCTGTGAGCAGGTGGGAAGGGCAGAGCCTCAGGCCCCACCCAGACCTGCTGCCTGGAACTTGCATGTTAGCGACATCCCTGGGGGTTCATTTGCACATTACAGTTTGAGGAGCACTAGGTTAGAGTACCAACACAGACATTACAGGAAAAATGGCTTTGTGAGAATGTACATGTGTGCATGTGTGTGTATTTGCATGTGTGTATGTAGTCATATTCTGGGATGTATCCATTCAGGGCATGAGAATTCAACTTGCCAAAGAGTTTCATCAAATCCCTGCAGGTGGGCTCAGGGGGTTTTTCTTTCTTTCTCCTTTCAAAAAGTTCATTTCTTGGATGAGAGTAAGAGACAAAGACAGAGAGACAAGTACTCCCAACAAGGTCTCACCCCACAATTCCTTTCCCAGCCTCCCTAGCCAGTTAGGATCATAGGGCCATGTCTCTGGCGTGTACAGGTCCACTAGGGAACCACACTACATAGCCAGCTAAGGTAATTATTTTTTCTAATTTGGTAGGGACTATTAGGATTTCATATCCCTCCATACGCAAAAGGAGAGCCAGTCTGGGTCGTCATCAGAGATGCACGATTAGGTGGCTTTAAGTTGCTCCCTAGGGGAACCAGCAGTTAGCATAATGGCTATGTCGCTGGATTCCCATGTAGTCGACTGTGGTTCGCATCCCAGACCCGGTGGCTTAAAACTCACGCCAGGCGCGTGTACGTGTGTGCCCAAGATCCCAAGAGGAGAATGGAGAAGGGATTGTGGCGTGGCCATCCCCCTTGGGGGGTGATTTCTCGCTTTCTGTTTCTCTGTCTCTGTCTGTCTAGTGAGCGCACGCGCCCTATAGCAAAAACCTCTCCAAAAAAAAGTTGCTCCCTAGGAGAAACTGGGGTTTATTAGTTGAAAGCTGTGATCACCTCTATACCATCTGCTCTGTTTTCATTCCTTTCTTTCTACCCCCCCACCCCCCAAGGTTGTGTATGCTCCCCCGAGAGAGCTATTGAGAAGGAAAGCGAGAAATCACCTTCCAGGGGGTGGCCGTGCTACAGTCCCCTCTCCTCCATTCTCTTCCTGGGATCTTGGGCACTCATGCACATGGGCCTGCCATGATATTCGAGCTGCCAGGTCCAGGACTGGAACTGTGGTCATGCCATGCAGGAGTCCAGCATCTTAACCATGAGGCCACCTGTCCTCCTCTATGTCTTTTGTCATCAATGTTCTGTTTGGTGGAGGAAAGTTTCAACTAGAGGTTCAATTCTGTAAATACTGTATCAAGGGCATGCTTCGCAACTGTTGGAATAAATGTGGGCCATAGATTTCAAGGACAGTAACACTTCTAATGAACAAAAACGATCAGAATGGAGAGAAACGTTGTTAGATATCAAAAATGATCGTATATAAGGATATCTGGGAGAAATCACACCTATCGGCAGGTGATTCAATTGGGGGTTTGTATTCCTTTTTTATAGTATTTGAATTCTATATATTATTAGTTTTATTTCTGAAAAACTAAAACTATTTTCATGTGGGCAAAAACATATTTGACCTGCAATTGATATTTGAACTATAAAAAGATATTTGAAAACCACCCAAACAAAACATTTACGGAGCCCGGGATCACTTCTTTAGTGTGTTATGGACAGTATCTCATAAATCAAGCATTTCAGAGTGAATAAGCGGAAAGCAATTTGCTAGGTTTGCAGGAGGAATTTCATAAAGAAAGGATCACATGTCCCAGCTGAGCTGGGGCAAAAATATTTATGGAGAAGGGAAACAAAGGATGTTTACCCTCAGCAAGTCCTGTTTGTCTCAGGGGCAGAAACTGGGTCATTTCCCTTCTGCAGGAGGCTGGCCGGGGCTTCCAAAGAGGTGGTGAGTGAAGTGATGGAGGACCGAGGGGTGGTAGGGTCCTGTCTCCTCAGAGGACTCGTCCCTGGCACTACAGCATCCGTTCAAGTGCAGTATCACAGACATCTCCACACCAGTGCCACCCCTAGCCAGTGGTGTGGATGCACACACACACGGCCTCCGCGTAGCTTGGTGACCTGGACCCCTCCTTGACTCCACTAAGTCACATAATGCAAATACCTGGGCTGAGATAACGAAACTCCAGTGATGCCCTACTTAGAAACACTGCTGAAACGGATATTCCTGCAGGCGTAGCATGATGTCTGAAACATCAACATCATGAGATGTGGGTTTTTTTTTTTTAATCTTTAACATACATTTGTCTCTTGTCTGTCCCATTAGAAAGTGGATTTTATGTAAACAGAGGTCTCTGCTTTGCACACCTCGGGACTCGGTGCTTACGAGGTAAGAGGCAAAAAGCAGGCATCCGGTATCTACTTACTGAATAAATACGCAGTTTCTTCTGAGGGATTTCAGAGGCGATGGTGGTTGCAGGCATTTCTCCAAGGCTTTTGTTGGCAGGCGACCACAGGGCTAGCTTGTGGCTGCCTTCTGGTTCTTCTTTTCTCTCTCCTGCATGTTAGGGGCCCTGGGGCTTACCAATTCGACCCTCCTCTCATTCAGGCAATAGCCTCCATGTGAGGGACTCACTAACCACCGTAGTGCAGAAAAGGCATGGCTTTGAAAATTGAATTCTACTCATATATGCACATTTAGGATTCTTAATAGCTCATATTGCCTGGTGATGAAATCATTTTTATTAAAGACCTGATGAAGAAATGGTAAAGGGCAAAGCCCAGGCTTCCAGTCCATTTGTCAAAGATCTAATTTTTTTTTTTTTTTAGAGAGAGAATTATGAATTAAACATTGAAGACAAGAGGAGAACAGTTGCCACAAAGCAGAACATGATGAAATGCCTAATTAACCGTACAGATCATTACCGCTGTAGGAGTGGGCAGGATGCTAGTACTTTCTGGGAGGGATGACCTCACGGAATACCCCCAGAGTCTCTTTCATCCGGTTGCTGTCTGTCTGCAATTTAACCTGCTGAAGGACACCCACGGGCAAGAAGAGGAGCTGGGAATTCATCCTACGCCTACCCCACTCTGCACCCATGCTCTTGTGCATGAGAATACCTGGGAGGTAGAACTTGAAGCAACAGGTGAGTCGGTGTGGGGGATTATTTGGGTTTTGTAAATAATGAAGTCATACCTGGGCACAGAATGTAACAAATAAAAGTGTGAGGCCAAGGGACCAGCGGATGGTATAATGGTTACGTTGCTGGACTCCTACGAATCACTCCAGGTGCATGTGTGTGCATGCCCAAAATCCAGGGAGGAGAATGGAGGAGAAGGGATCGCAGTGTGGCCATTCCTTCTGTGGGTGATTCTTTGCTTTCTCTCTGGCGAGTACACACGCCCAAATCTCTCTCTAAAAACAAACAATGTGAAGTCAAGAAAGCAGTGAATAAATGAGCACAGCTGGTGTGGATGTCTGAGAGGTGAGCAGGTGCAGCTCAGACATGCACAGGACAGTCGGCAGAGCACAGCTCCGAGGGTTTCTGAGAGCACAAGAACGCCAGCAGGACAGGGGGAAGCCCAGCCTGCTGTGTGTCAGGTGCCTGGGGACAGCCAGGCAGGATCCCGGGTGCTCACTGTTGTAGTGATCCAGGTGGGAGGAAGTCTGAGGCACCCCGGTGGGGAGCAAGGAAGGGAAGAAGACAAAGATCTGCTAAGATATGATACAAAGAAGATTCGTGATGAGAAGAACCAAAGATAAATCTGGGTCCTAATTATGGAAAGGAACAGGAGTGGAGATCAATTTAGCTCAGTGATGATGAGGAATCTGAGATAAAAGGAATCTGATGAAAAAGCCTGAGGGTGAAAAGGAGCCATGGCAGACAGTGGCACGGTGGTAAAACCTGATGCTCTGCAAGACAATCCCACATGGGAGGGTTCCTGGTTCAGGTTCAGAGACCTCTCTGACTATGTGGAGCACACATACACCTGTGACCAGGGCTGGCTGAGGTCTGGCCACGGACTGTGGCATCAGGACCCTGTGTGGGACACTCTCTTCCTTCTTGCTCATGGAAGAAATAAACTTTGAGGAAAATAAAAGAAAGAAAAGAAAATGCCCCCCCCGCCCCAGGGTGGGGGGAACAGCTGCAGTGATTGGCACAGACTGCTAAGATGCTGTGCTCTGCAGGCTGAGACCCCCACAGGAGGTCCAGGTTCTATTCCCAGTCCCACCTAAAAGGCTGGGTGTGCTGTACACCTGCAATCTCAGGAACTCCAGGGAAGGGGCAGAAGGATCGCGCGCTCGAGGCTGGCCTGGGCAATGTGGAAAGACCCTATCAGGAGGGAAGGAAGATTGAGGGGCAGGGGAAGAAGTGTGTGGGAGGCAGGTGGAGGACTAGGGTGCGAGGGAATGTCTGCCTCGCCGGCCAGCCTTCCTAGCAGGCCCCAGAAAATTCAGCCTTAAATCCCCCACCATGTGGAAGAAACAGCCTGCCCTCTGTCCTGGGTACCTGAAGTGGTACCAGAGACCTGCCATCCACATGGTTTTCCACAGAGAAGTGAGGAAACAGCCATGAAAGCCATTTTTGGAGTTTTGTGTTTTAGCTATTTTGTTTTAATTTATTGGGGCATGTGGGAGGCACATGCACTCACGAGAGAGAGAGAGAGAGAGAGAGAGAGAGAGAGAGGGAGAGGGAGAGGGAGAAGGAGAGGGAGGGAGAGGGAGAGGGAGAGAGGGAGGGAGGGAGGGAGAGAGCAAGCGAGCGAAAGAGAACCCTCCAGGGGGGATGGCCACAGCACAATCCCTTCTCCCCCATTCTCCTCTGGATTTTGGGCACGCACACACCCTGTGTGTTTCTCAAGCTACCACGTGTGACTCCACTGCACAGCTGGCCATGTGGATCCTGTCACCTTAGCCACCACGCCACTAGCTGGCCCTTATTTTCCTTAATGTCAGAGGGTGTGTGCACTTGCCAGAGAAAGCGAAAGAGAATCCCTGCCCTTCCGTGGGAAAAACTCACGCCACCATTCTTTTGCCCCCATTTCTCCACCCTGTAAGGACTGTGCACACACACACACCTGGCACACTTTTCAAGCCACTGAGGCCAGGATTCAAACCGCAGTCGCTCATGAGGGATCCATCCCCTGTGCAGAGTGTTAAACTAGTGTGCTGGAGGTTGGCCCAGGCATTGTGTTTTAGACGAATTCCTGACAATGGAGGGGAAGGCAGGGAGAAGATGGCGTTGGGACGCACGCATTAAGCTCACCTATAGAGAATGTGCAATGACTTCCAGCTACAGAGACAACGAGGGGCTGGGGTGAGGAGAGGGGGCGTGTAGGCAGGTAGAGTGAATGAGCCCAGCACAGAGGCCTGGCCGGCCTGGGGAGTAGCAAATGACTGGGGATGGCCAGGATGTGTGGCACTGGGTGGGAGCAGGACTGTGGCCCTACTGGGAGGCCACTGTGAGTGTGGGCTGCCGACAGCACACAGCTGCCCCCTTCTGCGGATCTGACCTCCACCCTAGCCAAAGACTGATTGACAGTGGCCCCCTCCTGGAGATGGGAGCATCTGAGACAGCAAGTTCCTAGATCCAGGAGGGGGCGTCCAAGAACCCAGCTCTGCTCAGCTCTCTCCCCGCCCCACTCTCTCCATCCTGGGAGTTCCTGCCTGAGCCCGTCTCAGGCAGTAGAGGCCGCAGGGTCAAGAAGGTCCAGAAGAAGGCAGAGGAACATGAACAATCAAGAGTCCTTGAGCTTTTTATTTAGGAAGGGACAGGAAACATGTGGACGATGACCGCTGTGGCAGCAGGGACAATGCAGAGGGAAGCTGTTGAGGAGAACGCCACAGGAGCCTCGGCAAGAGGCCATGAGCCCTCGTGCCTTCGTGAGGATGGCCAGCAGGCAGAGAGGAAGGGCCCCTGGTGCAGCACTGACAGAGCCGAGATGGACCAGAGGGGGTGAGGGGGCAGGGGAGGCCACTCAGGTCACAGGAAGGATGGCAGAGCCCTGTAGAAAGATCATGGGGAAGAAGAGCTATGGTGATGATATGGTCGTTTGGCCTCACTGGGTCTCAAACACCGGTGGGTCACCAGGTCAGAGAATCCTAGGGGCAGCTGAAAACCAGGCAGAACCCTCGAGAGGGACCTGAGCTGCAATACCACACGCTACCCCTGACGAGGCTGCACTGGCTGCAGGTGAGAGGCCTGGCAGCTGCGGCTTTTAGCCACATGGGGTTCGTGCTCTCAGAGAACAGGAAGTCTGGAAAGGCTGACCAGGCTGGCCCCGTGGCTCTGCCACATCCTGGACATCCCCAGCTCCCGCCACCCTCTATTCTTCCAGCATCAGCACATGTCCAGCCTCCGCTCCATCTTTCAGACAAGCAAGATACGAGGGAGAAGCCGAGTGGAAGTGGGGAAAACCTGCCCAGAGATCACAGACAAGCTGCCATTTTTATCTCTTTGGCCAAAACATGGCTCCCTCAGCTGCAAGGTCAGCTGGGAACTTTTCTAAGCTGGCAGTCTGTCTCCCAAATCAAATTAGGGTTCAGGCAGTAAGAAGGGTGGAGAGAGGAAATCTTTAATAGGCAATCCTAGGGTGCCTCAGCCACAGATAAAGATCTGGGACTATGTGGATAAAGAAGATAGTTAAGGCTGTTTTAAAGAGGCAAGATTCCCAAGTGGAAGAACATGGTGCAGAGCTTTATTCTCTTTTAATTTGCTTTTCCGAGGGGGTGTGTGCTCACCAGAGAAAGAGATTGGAGAAAGCACTCTCCCATTGGGAGTGGTCTCCAATCCCTTCTCCATTTCTCCATCCTGTTGGAATTCTGGGCATGCACACACAAGTGCCTTCTGTGTTAAGCAGGCTGCTGGGCCAGGATTTGCACCACATGGTCAATCACGTGAGATCTGGTTCCTTTAACTACGGGCCCACACTCTCCTTTTTAAAAAGCAGATTTTTCTTTTTCTTTTAAAAAAATTTTTTTTTTTTTGCTATAGGGCATGTGCGCACACCAGACAGACAGAAAGAGACAGAGAGACAGAAAGCGAAAAATCACCCCCCAGGGGGGATGGTCACGCCGCAATCCCTTCTCCTCCATTCTCCTCTCGGGATCTTGGGCATGCACGCACACGCACCCAGTGTGAGTTTTAAGCCATCGGGTCCGGGACGCGAACCGCAGTGAACTACATAGGAGTCCAGAGACATAGCCAATACGCTAACTGCTGGTCCCCCCTTTTTTTTTTAAAGTATATTTCTTACTTCTATGAGCAAGAGAGAGAGGGGGGTACTCCTTACAATGTTTTCATGCCACAATCTATCCATGGATGTGGCCACCCCAAACACTCGGTGTGTTCAGGGAGGTGTCTGGACCTGACGCCTTCCCAGTCAGCCTTGCAGAGCATCTGGTCCTCCAAGTGCAGGCTTGGCTTAGCCTGGAGGAACCTTTACCTTGAAGAAGTTAGGGGGAAATAAAAGGAAACATTAAGCAAAATCTGTAAGTTTGATGTGACAATTCCAAGCCTCAGTTTCAGAACACTCTGAAATTCCAAATATTTAAGAAAGCAGCACAACAGTATCTAAACAGAATGCATTTTAGTCACTTTAACCAAAAAAGAAATACAGGCACCCTCATGGTGTATACGAGAAATGGGGATTTCCAAAAACTAGTCTCACTGATCCTTCCAACTACGTGAGGATGTAGAGATGGGATGATGGCTCAAGTCCCAGCTATCTGGACACAAAGATCCCCAGAAGTGATATAGGACTATAAGTAGCAGTGTGGTGAGGACTATGTAGGAAAGGGGACCCTCCAGAAGGGTAGTACCTGACTCTCAGCCAGACACAGTGAGGTCAGAGAGCCTGTTCCTCAGGCAGCCCCACTCAAGCCCTACCCACGGGCATTGCAACAAAAGAAGTAGATGCTGGAATACAGGGTGTGCAAGTAATTTCTCCTCCTCCTCCTTTTTAACAGAGGTTTTTTGCTATAGTGTACATGTCCTGCTGGAGAGACAGAAAGTCAGAGAGACAGAAAGCAAGAAATCACCCCCCAGGGGGGATGACCATGCTGCAATCCCTTCTCCTCCATTCTCCTCTTGGGATTCAGGGCACTCACACACACGTGCCCAATATGAGTTTTAAAGTGCTAGGCTGGGAATCAAACTATGGTTGACTACATGGGAGTCCAGCAACGTAAGCATTATGCCATCTGCTGGTACCAGTAATTTCTTTTTTGGGGGAGAGGTTTTTGCTACAGGGCACATGCACTTGCCAGAAAGACAGAGAGAGACAGAAAGACAGAAAGCGAGAAATCACCCCCCAGGGGGGATGGCCATGCCACAGTCCATTCTCCTCTCGGGATCTTGGGCACGCACACACACGCACCCGGCGCAAGTTGAAGCCACCAGGTCCGGGACCTGAACCGCGGTCAACTACATGGGAGTCCAGCGACATAGCCATTACGTCAACTGCTGGTTCCCAGTACCAGTAATTTCTAAACTCAACTTTCTCCTACCCCCAGCTGGGAGAAGCAGCTTGGCGCGTGAGACAATGACGCAGTTAGATGTGCTCCTGGCCTCCTCACCTAGGGCTCACAGAGCTCAGGCCAACTTGTTACCTCTTTCTTATTGATTCCAGAAGTCCACACGTTCTCCCTTGCCACCTGAGCGGACCACCAGCCCCATATCGAATAAGTAGCTGATTTCAACCTAGTTTTAGCAGTGGAACTCTTTTTAAAATAAAGCTCACTTAGAATTCTAATTTGTAACAACACAGACATGAGGCTCTCTCCACCTCGGCCCGGCTGACGTTTTGGGCTGGGTAACAGTGGGATGTGCACGGTGCGGTGTTTAGCCCTCACTCATGATGTGCAAGTGGCACCTCTGGCCCTCCTCTCCTCTGGTTGTGTCAACCAAAAATGTCTCCACCAAATGTCCCATGGGGGCAAAACCATCCCCAACTTCACTGGGATAAAGTTATCACACACGTTAAAATTTCACCACTATTTTTAAAGTCAATGAGGGTAATCAGACTTAATGCAAACATTGGAGTTATAGACTGTGAGCCAAAAATGGATGATGCTTGAGTTTCGATAGCTTCTCTATCTCCATGTTTGTTTGGGTTGCACGATCTCATAAAATGGAGTCATTAAGATAAGTGGTCGTGCCCTCACCTGCACAGTGATATATGCGCCAGCAGACAGGCACAGGCCTGAACCCATGGAGCAGGTGAGATCACAGCTGCAGAGAGCACAGAGCAGCGCTTGGAGGGAGCGAGGACGCACCTGCTCCTGGACCCACTCCTCAGTTACCATCCCCACTCCCACCACCGAAGGAGGAAACTCCCACTGAATCGCACCTTCCCATTGCCATGGGGTGGGCAGTGTCTCATTTGTCTTTAAGGAGTTTGACAATTCCCCCATGATATCAAAACAATAGAGAAAATGCTGGTGCCCGGACGCCACCCAACCCTCTCCCAGTAGCTTCTACCTTGTGTTCAGTGTTACTGCCTCCAACCTGTCCATGTACAGAAGGGCAGGAGGAAGCTGTGAAGCCTGCAGATTCCCATACCTCATTTCCAGCAGGTCTCAGCCGGTAGGACCAGGATAGGACGCCAAATAGCTTAATGCTATAATCCATACTCAAAAACATTACCTAGGGACCAGCAGTTGGTGTAATGGCTATGTCACTGAATCCCCACGTAGTTGACAGCGATTCGAGTCCAGGATCCGGTGGATTAAACTCACACTGAGTGCGTGTGCAGGCGTGCCCAACATCCTGAGAGGAGAATGGAGAAGGGACTGCAGTGTGGCTGTTCCCCCTGGGGGGTGATTTCTCACTTTCTGTCTCTCTGTCTCTCTCTTGTCTTTCTGGCGAGTGCACGCACCCTATAGCAAAAACCTCTCCAATAAATAAATA